TCCAGAGTTCAAGTAAAAGCCAGTGAGAGAACTGAGAATTGACCAAAATGTTTCTGTTTTATGTCTGATTGAAGAATTTCCCTTCCCCTTTGCCTGCCAATGGGCAGAAGCTGGGATTTCCCAGTCCAAGTGTCTGGTACAGTTCCTGCAGCCCAAAAGGTCACTTGCAGAAGGAGGCAAAGAGTGTTAGAGGAGAATCAGATGGATGGGCGAGAACAGTTAGAGGGAGAAAAAATAACCAGGGCAAAAGGTGGGGACAGACAAGCTAAATGCTTACCAGCTGATCTCAGAGCTCCAAAGCATCTCAGAAGCAATGCTAAAACCTGGCGAGGAGTGGAAATTCATAGATCACAGTAATGACAAAGAAGAGAACCAGCATGAAACACAGGAGGAACATTCACAGTATGGGTCAGGGGCTCCTAGAAAGAACTGAGGCGTGCATTATGCTTTATGTCTAGATCTCCCCAAAAAACCTCATTATGGTAGGTAGGGCTTCAGGGAGAGATTAGATCATGGGGGCCTGATAGCCACCAGTACATGACTCTCCACAGGTGAGTTTATACCTGACTGTGACGCTAAGAGGTGATGCCTGCTGGAAGAGGTGGGTCACTGGGGCACTGCTAGAAGGATCTGCTCCCTCCTCCTGCCTTGATCACTGGCTACTTCCTGCCTGCCCCTCCACAGACTGTCTCTCCTCTGCCAGGCCCCTCGCCACACTGCCCTGCCTGTGAGTTGGCTGACTGTGGACTGAAACCTCTAAGACTGTGGGCTACAATGAACCTTTCTGCCTTTACCTTGTAGGTGTCAGATAATGTGTCTCAGCAAGACAAAACTAAGTAAGTGTGCAAATAAGTCAATACCTGAAGACACTAAAAGACTTCTAACAGCTGTGGCAATCCAGAAGAACAAAGTTCCTCTTACATGGTGATTGCAATTTTACAGTGACAGAGAGCTCTACTGCCTCCCAGGCAGGAGAGGGCTGGGTTGCACCAAGCCCACAGAATGACCCCACAGAGAAGCACTCCCAGGATTCCTCTCGAGGGTTCTACCACCCCAGGGGGGGTGGGGCTCCCAGGATTTTGGCTAAGAGTCCTGCTCGGTATAATGGATTTTAGGTTTTATGTCTGTTTCAGTGTTTAATTCAGCACAGACTCGCTATGTCCAGATTTGTATGTATTACCTCTCTGCCACCTCTAATTAAATCAATTTCTCCTTGCTCCAACTTGGTAAACACTGCAAAACATGTTTTGAGCTGGAAAGACACAAAATATGGTAATGACCTCTTTAGTACCCCATCACCAAGAACGGAATCTTTCCTTTCCTTCCGTGGAAATATCACAGCACCTGGCACCCCCATGCTGTACCCAGGTTGTGGCTGAGGACTCAGACTTTTAAAGGTCATGCACACCACGGGGTCCTGATAACACCTCACATGAACAACCCACAGCCTCACACCGGGCTGCTCCTCATTCACTGAATGTGCCCTTTATTTAATTTTTTGTCTCAGTTGCTTCTGTTTCTCTTTTCTGCTGAGTGCAGTAACAGTCTTTTGCCCAAATCACCTGACAACACAAACTTACACATACTCTGAACCCATACTCACCTTCTGGTGAGAAAAGGTTTATTAAACTATTGATAATTGCCCCTGTCACTCCCTGGCCAAAGTCTTGAGTGAATTAGGAAGCAGGTGGCTCGTGAGGATTAGAAAAGGAAGTGAGTGTTAATGTCAGACAGCTTCCATTCACCACAAACAACCCCACAAAGTCATCTCATTTTCCTTGGTGGCCGGACAGTCAGAGGCTCAGAGGAAGGTGGCAGGCAAATTGCGTCTGCACCACAGCATAAAACTTGGAAAATAATTTCATTTTCTTCCTGTGACCCCAGATACCTCTGGGTGGGATTATAAGACCTCTGAGAGCATCTGGAGTAAAGCCCAGCAGTGAGGTCAATCAGTAGTGGATTGCTGGACCGTCCATAGCTAGCACCCGGGCCAGCAACTGAGACCCCTGGCTCACGCTTTCCCTGTTGAGTGTAAGGGTTTGGATGATCACAGCTGGTACATGTTTATCTCATCTACAAATTTCACAACCCTGGCAATGATAGATAGCACATCAGGTTTTAAAATCAGAATACCAATTCCGTGATACATATGCTGATGAATGGACACAAACAAATGAGAATTTAACAGGAATAAAGGCCCGTCGTGACTGTGGTTAGAAAGTCTGTTCTATGGCTAGAACCGAGGGATGCTCCCACAGCTGCCTGACTGCAGTTCTGGTGCAGAAGCCCCACCTGACAACTTGGAGTGACGCAAGCACTCAGGGGGTCTCCCCTAACGCTGGAACAACTGTAGGTTACATCAACAACCTACTGGTAACAAGGAAGGAAAGAGTTCTGGTTTTCGCACTGATGACTCAGTGAGTACAGTACTGAATTGAACAAGGGTCAGGAAACTGCCCAGGATGATGGAAATGTGCCCCATGACAGCAGTCAGATGGGCCAGTGTATCAGCTCCAGAAAGGGCTTTCAAACATAAAAAGTCGACAATGCCTTTACTCCTTCTCCATCTAGAAACTCCAACTTTGTGTGTAGCCAGTCTCAGTGGTGGTGTGGGGCTCACAGAGCACCAGTCACCATAAGACAAATGTCAGTTTCGGTAGGAATTAGTCCAAAAGGCGACCATGTGCCAAACCTCCCAGAACACAGGGTCCAGAAATGACCCGACAGCTACTTCCTCACTGTGACAAGTGCCTGGCACCTAAGTGAGATGGTCTTAAATCACCGAAAGAAGCATTACTCAGGGCTCACATCCCTCAACAGGAGGTCATGAGGACGTCACCAAAGCCCAGATCCTGGTGTCCGACCCCATTTCAGAAGAGATGTTCCCACTGAACTTTGTTGTAATTTCGCAGTTTACTTAGCAAAATTCATCAAAACACTGCCTTATTCCATGTACTTATCACTTCTTTAAGGGGTCTGTTTAGGTCAAGGCCATTTTTCATTATATTTCTAGAAATTAGGAAAACAGAAAAGTCCTGTTAGACCAAACAACAGGTGGTTCCCTTTAATTCTGAATTAGACAATTGAGAATCTTCAAGCATAGTGGGCTCCCCAGGGTCAGCATGAGGTCTCTTACCTCATGCTGCACAAGAATAACCTCAAAATGGGCTAAAAGCTGGCATCTAAGGCCTGTTGCTGTAAAAGTGAAAGAAACCAGAAGAAAGTTCTTCTATACTCTCTGGGCAACATTTTCTTTATGGCTATAGCCCCGAAATCACAGGAAGCAAGAACAAAAGTAGACAGTGGGATTGCCTCAAATTGCAGAGCTTCTGCAGGTGAAGGAAACAGTTACCAAAACAAAGAGGTGACCACAGAATGGGAGAAGACCTTTGCAAACTGTGTACCTGATAAGCTCTTCATACCTAAAATACTAAGGAACACGGATCACACAAGAGCAAGGAGCCGCATACCTGGATTAAACAATGGGCAAAGGACACGTGCAGATGTCTCTGCCCAGAGAACACCCTGGAGCTAGAGGTTTATTTAAAAAGCTCCGAATTGCTAATCACCAGGGACGTGCAAACTAAGGACAAGGCAATGCCACCTCGCACCTGATATGCTGCTTTTAATAAAACGTGAGAGTCGGTGAAGAGGTAGAAAAGAGGAAACCCTTCAGCATGGCTGGAGGGAATATGACCCGCCACCATTTTCAGGAGAAACACTGCGCAGGCTCCTCAGGAAAGCCAAGGATGGAAGCATCAGGGCATGTGGGGAGGCTGAGGCAGGAGGATCACTGTGAGTAAGGCCAGCATGGGCTACAGGGTGAGTTTAAGGCCAGCTTCAACAACACAGCAAGATCCTGTCTCAAAACAAACAAACAAAAAAAAAACCAAACGACACAAGGGTCTACTCTGAATCTCAAAACAAACAAACAAACAAACAAACAAAAAAAAACCCAACAGGCTACTCCGCATCCATACCAAGAAGGACCTTCTGCCACCTGAGACTTCATGGACTGACCGAGGCGGCAGTATGTTAAGTGACACAAGCCAGGCACTGAAAGCAAATACTGCACAATCTCACTCCCCTGCAGCGTGAGTTCAGGGACAGCGTGAAATACAATATGAGACTCTGTCCCCCAAAAGACCAAAACAAAGTATCAAAAAGCTGATGTCCTCTTGCGCCAGGCGACTGTGCACAATAGTGGCCTCTCCCCGCTGAGTTTTGGAATACATGAAACAAGGAGAGACAGCCCCAAAAGTTTGACTCCCATCAGTGGTAATTCAAGGTAATACTTTTATATTAGAAAACACACATATCAAGTCAAATTCAAAATTTTGCACGATGTTTTAAAGTAAAAGATCAGACTTCTAACACTTATAGGGATCATGGAGGCACTTGGTACCTGCTCCTAGATGCTCCACTGGGGAGGATGCCTCCTCCCTCTCTTCCTTCCTTTCGTCCTTACTTTCCACGTGTCTGTCTGCCTGTCTGTCTGTCTTTGATTTTGGTTTTTCTGAATCAGGGTCTCACTACATAACCAATGGTGGCCTCAAACTCTCAGTGAAGCTCCTACCTCAGCCTCTTGAGTGGTGGGATTGCAGGCATGCACCTCCACGCCCAGCTTGCTGCCTGTTTCTTTCCCAAACCCTCAGAGATGTCTTCCTAGGGTGCCCTGACCCCTGGCAATGCCCCTGCTCCAGGGCAGTGAGCTGAGCTCCTCCCGTGCCTCTGCAGCAGCCCGCATCAGGGATCTCACACTTCACCCTGTGGCATTACAAACACACAGGTGGGTGGGTAGTTATTCTGGTATTGATCAGAGAGGTGACTCCAAACCTGGGGTCAGGACCCATGCGGGACATCAGGTCCCCTGCACAGGCCGGGGTAGCCTCTGAGTGGCTCTGATAACACACCCTGGAACCCACACTTGCAGGAAACCCCCACGGAGATGTTACCATGAGGACGTGTGCCTCTCGTGAACTTCAGATAACTTGGCTTACCTGGTACCAGGTCACCTCTGGCCTGTGTGTGTTCCCTGGGCAGCTGAGATGGGGACAGCGAATGGAGCCAACGGTACCCAGAAGCAGGTACTGCTTATGGGGTGCAGAGGCAGCACAAGGGGCCGTGGTCTGAGGCGCCACCTCTAGGAGGGTTTTGAGGCAGCAGGTCACCTGCACATCCGGGGCACTCCTAGGACAGAAAGGATTCCTGTGAACAGCTACCTCCAGGGTCGACAATTTGGACGCTTGGGAACGGGAATGAATTCAGGACGGACCTAATCCTGCCTCTGCAAATATATGTCCCAGCCTGGGCCGCCTCTTGGGTGCTGAAGTGAAGCGTGCTCTTGCGCTGAGTGACATGAGGGTGGCCACCAGCAATTGCCTCGACCGGACCCCCATCCCCGTGCTGTCGGTACCACTGGACGTCAACCAGGTCCTTGCCACCAGCGCAGGGCAGGGCTCTGGGCCCCCGGGTCCGATTGTGCTGATTTCCAGGGAAGAGACGTGATCGCTGTGGCTCTGGGGTGTCATAAAACAAGACAAACTCCTCCTCCTTGCCTGGGGAGTATGTCCAGAGGAGTTTTTGTATGAAACAACCTAGAAACCACACACAAAAAAAGGCAACACAGAACCACATCAGTAGATGGAACTCAAACTGGGGTGCAGGGGAGTGTTGGGTGGGAGCCGAGTGTGGGTCAGTCTGCCTCACGAAGGCCCCTGGGCCCGGAGGGATGTGCGTGTCCCCATACCCTCCCAGGCAGTTGCAGCATGGCCATTACCTTGCAGCACCATGAATGCTGGCTACATAAGCTACAGTCTCCTCCACTCAGGCACAGCCGGAGGCCATGCTGGCCATCGATCTCCTCCTGCTCCCCAGCAGGAAGGAAGTACCCTGCACAAATGTTACCATGCCACACATCTATCAGATACCCTGTGACTCTGGGCTTCCACAGCAGGCCCTGAGTGTGAGAGGGAGATGCGAGACACCTACCTGCCACGTTCAAGCCTGCGATCCTCTCTCTGCCCAGGAGCCAAAGAAACACCCATCCCCAGGCGAGCATGGTCCCCAATAATCACTGTCATCACCTCAGCCACTGCATCGTGTCACCACGGTGACAGTTGGAGCCCTCTCCAGGACAACCTCTTCCTTTCTAAAATGGGAAATGAGACAGTGGAGCTGGTGGCCAAGGTGCGAGTCACACAGGAAGCTTCCCGGGGCAGGTCCCACCCAAGGGTGCAGCCACATGCCCAGGGCCTGAGGAACCTCAGACCTCCAGCAGTGGGAGTGGCTCTTCCTGTGAGCAGCTGCCTGCACTCCCCAAGGAGAGCACCCCAAATCCAGAGCCTCTACCTCTACAACACCCAAGAGAGGGAAGGAGGAAGGTCTTATTATGCTGTTTCCCACACACAGAATTCTTTCTCTTTTTCTTGTACCGTTCTCACCTACTGTGTATATTTCCATGAGTAAGTTGAAAAAAGTTAAAATTTACATTTTCCTGAAAAGATCATCCACCCCAAGTGCACAGAAATAGCCTCTTTAACCTCTTCCTCACATCTGCAGGGAGCCCTGTAGGGGTGTGACATTGCTGCTCTGGGGGCAGGGTGCTCTTTTTACTGCTGCAGAGGGCTGGGAGTGGGGGTCATGCAGGGTCCCTCCTCTCTCAGACCTCTCTCAGGCTCTCCTCTGGGCTGGAGCTCCACATCTGAATGCCCCAGGCTGCTGCAAACTGGGTACCACAACACTAGGCCCTGGCCCTGGGGAGTTCCCACTCTGTTCGCAGGTGACAGACATTCTCTGTCACAAGATGTGTCACTGAGATCCAGGGGCAGCATTCTCTCTGCAACAGTGTGTTCTTACATCTGAGTGGTGCCTTCAGCCCACCATCACCACATGGTGTCCAGGTCCCAAGCAGCCAAGCAAGTGGGGCTGTGGAAACCTAAGCCAAGTCAGGTGGTGAGCTCTGCTCAGGGGAGTGGCGTGGAACAGCGCACTCTCCAGCTGACATGCCAGGGCTGACACCCTTTCTCACTTCCCCATGGACAGCCTGGGTCCTTCCTGCTGGGAGCAGTGATAGCCACCACCTTGCTCTGGGCTGCAGGAGGGACTCTATCCAGACTGCAGCAGCTCAGGGCCTCTGGTTTCATTGTCACCACACACTGTAGGTCACCAAAAGAGAGGACAGCTTACAGGACAACTGCAGGAATCTCTAGGGTCTCCTCCCCAAAGCCTTTCCAGATGTACTCTTAGAGAATCCTATTTCTTTGGTCACAGGATGAAGATGGTCCCTGCAGTCAGGCAAGTTTACTGTGTTTGGGAAGAAAATGAGTTTTCACTGATGAACGCCTTTGATAGAAGGAGAGAGGAAAATCGCAAGTAAGTCAATTCTGGGTCCCAGAAAGAGAACCCTCCCTCCTTAGACCAAGCCTAGGTCACATGCCCAAACAGTGACTGGGGCAGGGAGAGCTGATATTAGGACTCTCAGAGGGACTGTGGATGCCAGGAGCCTGTTTATGGAGAGACAACAAGAAATGCCATGGTGCCCAAGGCCAAATGTCTTGTGATGGGAGGTGCTCACAGGAACTTGGCAAACATCCTAAAACCTTCTGCTTTCAACCCATGCCGTAAAGTGCTCACAGCACTGTAGAAAATGAATTTCACACAGACCATTTTGTTTTTAAAAAAGAGGGGGAAGACTCTGTATATGAAGATGCAAATGTTGACACATGGTCACTATTCCCAAAAGTTTCACCAGCAGTGCTTGTGTGGCTACTCTCTGTGAAAATGGCATTAGTGCAAGAAAGAGAAAGAAATTTACAATTACGTGAGCTCTTTTCTTAACTGAGATTTTCAGGTTGGGAAAGCGAGTGACAGATTGTACTGTTTCTTACCTTTATTTCCTGCTCTTAAGACATAAAAAGAGGAAGCAGCCTCCAGACCTTAGGTCAGTGATGCCAGCCCCTGTGTCTGATGAAAACCACAGGTTAAGGGCTTTTCCAGAAAATTCTGGTGGATTTCTTCCCAGCTGGAGAGACGTGGAGGTGCTGTGAGAGCCCTCCAAGTCACCCAGTGCAGAGAAAATGAATTACACCCGGAGAGGAGAAGAGGACCTGAGGTATGGTGCACCTGACCCTGCCATTGGGGAATCCAGTCCCACACCAAGGAAGACAGAATGCACTGACTCTCTGCGTGGAAGGAAATGCCCAGCCAGCAGAGCTTCTGCAACCCTCTCTGGTAAAGCTTCCTTGACAGGAAAGATTTGTGGTTGGGTTTAACTGAAGAGGTGAAAAAGCCCATTTCACTTACAGGAATTTCCTGTGCAGCTCTCAACTCAGTGTCTCAACTCTGGTGTTTTGGTGTTTTTTTTTTTTTTTTTTTTTTTAAATTTCTCCCTCCTAAAACTAACCCTCTGAACCATAACTTTTAAGAGCAAATTCAAAGCTTTTTTGGTGACTTACACTTTATTTCTGGCAAAAAAAAAAAAAAAATCTCCTGGCCCACTTATATGAAGCCATTTTTTGACACACAGAGACAGTAATAACATTAAAGTCTAAAATCTTTGGTATTTTTTTATAGTTAGGTAGTAAGAGGAAACCTTAAGACATAATGCATAATTTAAATTTCCACTGTAATTGAGACTAGTAAGACTTTTAATGCTTCAAGAGCACAGAAGAATGCTGCCCAGAAACCATCGAGATCAAGCCTAGATTTCATTCTCCCTCAGGAGGCCACTGTCCCAGCAAAGAGAGGCTGGTACAGCCCAGCACGTCAGAGCTGGAGGAGCTGGCTGCACCACACTGAATGGAGAGGAGAAGAACTGAGTCCTGTAGACAGGACTGAGGCCAGATACGACCCCCAGTGGCCACAGAAGTTGCAGAGGGCATCTGAGGGTGTGTGGTTCTCTTTCCAGCCTCCCTGAGGGTGGTGAAGAGGCCATAGAGAAGTGAGTGCAGCTACCTGTGTCCCCCGGCTAACACGGGGTGCAGGTCCATGCAGTATCTAGAGCAGAGGCCTCAGACCCACAGGACCCGGGAGCAGCGGGGTTGGGGTGGAGCTCCGGAGAGGCTGACAGTAAGGTGCTGCCACATGGGTACTGCAGAACTAACTCGGGGTTCAACCGGAGGCCCGAGGGACTGGGACACTGTCCTTGTCCAAGGTCAGAAATCCTGATGCAGATCTCAAAATTGTGCCTCCAGCTCACAAAGGTGCCTCTTAGAGTGAAATCACCAGTACATTTTTCTCTGGAATTAAACTGGCAATTTTTAAAGTATATTTGGAGGGGAAAACGCAAAAAAAAATACAGGAAATAATCAAAAGGTGGCAGATCCATGACAAGCCAGCCAAAACAAACCTTACAAGGTCTCTAAGAATGTTTCAAGGTCTTTACAACAAAGTGCGTGGTGTTAGCACCTGGATAGAAACGTGGTTGAGGCAGCAGGATAGAAGTGCAGAGATAGCTCTAACTGGATGTGGGGATTCAGGAAGAAGGAAAAGGAGCATTCCAAATCAGCGGGAGGGCCGGGCAGAGGGCTTAGTGCACAAGTGTCTGCCTGGCAAGTGTGAGGTCCTGAGTAGTTCAATTCCCGGTACCAAAAAAAAGAAAAAATTCAGCGGTTAGGAGATGACGATTTAAAAGAAGTGCTGTGAAATCGGGCCATCAATTGGGAAAAGGACGTCATAGACCCATTCCCCCTGCTGCAAATCAGAGCATTCCGCATGGGCTGAGGATTTGAAATGAATCATGAGTCTAGATGCATATTAGAAAAACGGGCTAATTCCTGGGCCATCCTGAAATGGGGGAGTGCCAGAAGGAAAGTGAAAAGGTAAATCACAACCCGGGAGAAAGTATTTGCAGCTACATCACAAAGCCCCAGCATCTGCAGTACGTAAATGGCCTTCATCAATGGCCACGAAGGAGATGACCACCTCTACAGAGAACTCGGCAGAGCCGAACACAGGCACAGAGCACTGCCAGAAGTGCAAGCCTGAGCGCCCGGAGAGATGATCCGGTACCACACAGTAACATCACCTCTGCACCACTCCCTGACCTAGCGACACTCTGTCTAAGAATCTATCCCAAAAACAGTCCAGCAGAGAAACGCAAAAATGTGTTACCTAAGACTGTGGCGTGTATTTGTAACATGATTTGTGAAAGGAAAAGAGTTGGAACTGGATGGATAAACCATGGCACAGACTCCAGGGGTCATGCGTACGCACCAAGGAAGGAAAAATGGCTTGGCATGCAAATATGGAGAGATCCCAAAGTACAGTTTTGTAGCAATAGAAAACAACATTTAGACTCAATCCCTAAAAATCAAAATAAAACTGATGAGTGCAACTATTTTTTGTCGACAAAGTGACATTCACACCAATAATATAAGATGACGGACTTAGACCACAACTTGACTTTATATTCTGACGAAACAGTGCAAAAAGCTTTCTGAACTGGTTTTAGAAAATTACGTGTGGATGTGTTTGTATTACAATTGTTCTGAAGTCATTATGAATATTGTGGGATAGAGAAGATCGACGATAATTTTTATGTTGTCGGGACCTGGGATTTTTCATGTGTGCAAATGATATCAGCATAAAATTGACAAGGCAAAGTAAAGCTGTAGGTCTGAATTTACACTGGGGTTTTCAGTGTTGATTCATGACTCGTTTCTTTATTTGTGTATTTCCTTTTGACCATTTGAAACCTCGCAACACTGATAGACAAACTAATAATGAGAAAAACTAAAGGAGGCAGGCGTGGCCTTCGCCTGTGACGCCCGCACACTGAAAAGAAAACCTGCCTGCTTGGGAAGCAGCAGTGTGAGACACAGAAAACCTCTTCTCAGCTCCAGGGCGTCTTCTCACACCCCAGCAAGAAAAGGAAATGAAATGGCTGAAACCACAGCAGTGAGGGGAAAAGCACTCGGGAATCCTGAAAATGGCCAAAGACGGAGAATCTCGGGGCGAGAGAGTTACATTTTGTTGAGAGCTGGCAATCTCAGTGCTAGGGTACACATAAATATCTATTTCCGGGTGATACATTCAGGAGATGTGAGAATAGTATTACTAAATGAAAACAATGATAACCACGGAAATCTAGTACCGGACACACAGCGAGGCACTGGTGACGGCTCATGGAGGCTGCAGTTTTAAACCTGGACTGCGGCTCCTGGGTATTTGCTGCTTCCTTCTGCTCTACACAGTCCAAATGTTTCACAAATAATATTTTAAAGAGTAAAGGTAAAACAGCCAGAGGCTCTCTTTCTGCCTTCATTTAAGTGTGAGTTCCCTCTTGATTAAAACTAAATTTCAGGAGGTGAATGTCACAGTGTAATAACAGCGAAAATCAAGAAAAGCAATTCATAACACCATAACTAGTTTACAACTCAAGGCAGGAAACAAGGTCACCTTACAAGCACACCTTGCTTTCCGATTTAAAACAATCGGTTTGATGATCAACATTATTGATCAGGCATCGCTCACGCGATCTCAATAATTTCAAAGATCTCTCATCCAGCAGACTGGAGACATAACAGGCTGTTACAGGCCTTGAGTTGCGGGTGCCCAAAAGTGAATTTGGGCTGATGCAGCCCTTGGTGACCCAGTTCTGCAACTCATCCATGTCAGACCACAGGCTGGTAGTGTTGAAACCCACAGCTTCCTGATTGCCTAGGTTCCTCCTGGGGTGTGGCAAGATCCCCAGCTGTGGGGCACCCGGGTATTTTGAGGGACCTACCAAGGTGTACAGAAAACTAAGGGACAGCTGGCCTGTCCTTGAACCTCTCCAAATAATTCTTTAACTGCTTAGATAGCAGTTTAATTGCAAGGGAAACTGGGCATGGTATTGCACACCTGTATTTCCAGCACTCAGGAGGCTGACACAGGAGGGCTACTGTGAGTTCAAAATCAGCCTGGACTACAAAGTGAGATCGAGGCCAGCCTGAACTGCATAGTGATAACCTGTCTCAAAAAGACCAAAAAAAAAAAAAAAATAGCAAGAGAGGGTCATGTCCACTACAACTAAAGGCTGACCTCTTCACAGAAGCTGTTTTTTTAAATAAAATGTCACATGAGACCACAACACACAGAGTGGACAAAATCATTGTGGTTCTGGTTCAGCATGAGTAGGGGCTGAGAAGTGTGGGGTCAATGGGAAGTATCCGAGGCAATCCTCCATCCTACCTGCCCCCATGCCCATGAGGTACCTCAGGAGAACCCCAAAACTGCCAAATGACTGAGAACATGTTCACCTACAGCAGCAACTGGATAAGGGAGGTGGGGTCCCTTGGGGGTGTCAGACAGGGAAGAGGAAGCAGGTCTCCAGAGGTGTCAGAGAGAAACACAGTGTTGGCTCAGGCCCCGCCTGGACTCGGATCCCTGGCAGGGGGCACACAGGTGGGCGCGAGGACAGGCAGCTGCCTGGCCACCCAAGTGAGGTCCCAAGGCAGCCTGTGCTCAGAAGTCAGGCTTCCCCTCCCTCCTCTTCCTCACTCCTCCATGTCTCTGAGCCTCGCCTCAGGCCTGAGGGACGGGTGGTCTGAGTATTTTTTCATTTAATTTTATGGAAAAAATTTCATAGCAGAATAACTAGGCAATATATTACATGTTGTTAGCTTTAAAATGGTTGATCAGGGTGCAAACGGTGTGCATAAAAATTTCTCCAATCGGTCTTAGCTTCAGCCTTCCTAGTCACTGAACTGAGAGGCACTAAGAGTGAAACTGATTTGCATTTTCCCCTTTCCTCTACTGTCCTGTCCGCTTCACGCATCCTAGTTCCTTCTTCATTTTGAACAATTTCCTCCCATTTCACACTCTCTATTGTACATTTTACAACGTATTTACTCTTTAAGTTTCCCACAACAGGGAGCCCACCCGATGTTAACACATTAAGTCTGACTTACTTCACTTTATATGACCTAAGTCAATCCATTCACCTACGAAAGTCTCAAGTTCACCTTCTTCACGCCTGAGTAATACTCTATCACATTAATTCTGGCACTTCCTGTACCTTCCTGAGAGTCTGGCAAGCCCTCATGGCCTGCCCCAAGCCAGTACTACAGCCCCTGCTGGTGCCAACACTCCCAGGACAAGCACTCACCAGAGCATCCTCAACTGGGGGTAACACATTGCAGACACAGGACACTGCATCCCAAACAAAACCGAAATGCTGGTATTCCCTGCATCCTAACCCCAGTGACTCAGCGGGAGCCTGAGGGCCCCTTTCCTCCAGCTCCTCCTCCAAGCCAGTCCCCTGCAGCCAGGTTACCCTCTGCACAGCCCTACCCTGCGCCCCCTGGGATCAATCACGACCCAGAAAATTGCCCACAGTCGGCAAGCTGCAGAAGTCCAAGCTCACTTTCCACTCGGCAGGTCAGATGAGGAAACTGCACTGACCTGTCACAGCCAGGAGAGCAGCCAGGGCTGCAACAGCCGTCAAAACCCAGACAGAACCTGTGCCCAGGTCTCAGGCTCCTGGGTCTGGAACATGGGAGGCTTCTTTCTGCTTTGAGAACACACCTGCGGTCCAGCAGGTGCCTAACCAGGAACAGTAAACAGCAGGAGCTGTTTCTCTGTGCTTACACAGCTGGGTGTTCTGATTTTCAGAAATACACTTTCCAATTTAAGGACGCCCGAAATCTCTGAAGAAGATGTTCAAATCCCTAAGATGTCACTGATTGTTCCTGGTCAGAAGTGGTCTTGTTTGGGTCTAAAATTAAATCACATATGCACCAATCCCGTGGCATATGAAGGCCTATGTGTGTCAGACCCAAGGGCCATCATGCATGGGCTTGTGAGAGAGAGGAGAGAACGCCTGTTTCGCCCCTGCATGTGAGGTAAAACAGAAAGCTCCAGAGTAACTTGGCACAGAAAAAGTGATGGGGTAGGCGTCCCTTCTGAATATCGCACACACTGCTGAGATAGAGATAGACTGGAACCTAGGTGGAGAAGGGAGGACTGGAGTCTTAAAGTGAAAAACACCTCGAGACATTTTAAAGTAACAGTATGAGAACCATGATTTATTAATGTGTGCAATGTGCTCGAAGTTTTTAAAAGCACACACGTAATGCACACATTTACCACACTTGGTGTGAAACACACTTAATATAAAATATGCACAATGTGCTTTAAAGTCTGTGTAATAAAAAAGGAAAGCAGAGTACACGAAATGTATTGACTTTATTCCAAGGTTTTACATACAAAACATAAACATTCCTTCACTCACTTTTAAAAACAGTCAAGCAGCCTGCAAAGTCATAAGCACCATAGAACTAAACCACCCTCTTACACAGGGAACCTCATTCTCCCTGATGTTTCAGCAAAATCCACTGTATCTCTGCTTTAAACTTTCCTGGAACACTCTGGAGGCACCCAGGTTCTGCCAGCCTGCTCTTAGCTCATGTGACTTCCCCTCCCCCGGGAGGCTGCTGCCCAGAGCTCTGCATTTCCATGGTCAGCGACTGGGTTCCAGGTGGTGGAGGACCGGCAGCTCTGGCTCCAGTGCGGGCAGGCGCTCCACAGGGTCAGTACGAAGCACCTCTGTCTCACTGTGTTCATGAAGGTCCTCAGATCAAATCCGGCCTCCCCTTCACCTGAGCCTCCGCTTCCCTCTCTGTGACTTCTCTTCTGCCCATTGCTAAGTAACTGATCTGAACAGGAATTAGTTATGGTGACAACATCCCTGAGGGCCACAGGAAGGGGAGAACTCCTCTACCAGGAACTGTTCTAAGCATGTGTGGATTCAGTATCCTGGGACGTGGGAGGAGGAAACTGAGGCACTGGGAGGTGAGGTAAGGCTCCAGAGAGCTCAGTGTGGGCTATGCCACCTAGACCCAAAACCGCCTTGCCGGACCGTCTCTATAACAGGGGCGTTTCTTTTTCTTTTGTTTTGTTTTTTGTTAAAGAAAAAAGATAAACGATGAAACCAAGTTTCAAGACAGGGGAGCAGGACCTGCAAGCAGTCACTGTGCTATGTATTGCTGTCTCCCTCGCAGTTGTTTAGACACAGGACATGGCATGGCATCCTGTCTAAACCATGTGCTAATGCACAAACACTGTCCAGGGGCGTTTTAGACCCGGGATTCTCTAAAATCCAACAGACACACTGCTTGTTTTTTCTTTTTCTTCTGTTTGATGGCTAATGTGATCTGGCACCATTCTGAATACAGATCTCTACATGACCTCTATCAATATTTAAGATCATCAGAATTGAAAGTCACCAAGAATATCTGAAAGAAAATTGGGCCCTCTCATGAAAGACATAAAGGGGCTTGGGGTGCCTTTAGAGGGTTTCCAAGAATAGGTCTGGATAAGTGAGCTCTTCCCTGTGCCTCACTGGGGCTCTGGAACTGTTAACTTTGACCAGGGACCGGAAGAAGGGAGTGTGTTCTGGGTCCAAGTCCTGCTGACAGCTCCCTGCTCAGCCCAACTCCTGTACCCCACATCCCAGGCCCTCCCACTCCTCTTCCCCCTCCCCAGAGGATCCAAGGTGGCTGGAGAAGGCAGCATTCCAAGGACCACCACCCACCCACCCTCCCACTCACCCACCCTCGGCTAATACAGCTCCTTTCTTCCTGCATTTGAAGTCCGCTAGAGCACAGTTACTGTTAGGACTGGACGCTGCCATGTGATTCCCATTGGCAGGCACAGGCGTCTGCATAGGACCCAGTGTCATGCTCTCTGATCACAGAATGGGTGCCAGCAGCTGCCAGGAAATCTCTAGCTGCAGCTCCTCTGAATTCCAGGATCTCTGGAAGAACAGGACCAGCTCAAGATTGAGCCTCACCCTGATGATCTAATGATGAATCTCCTCTTCAGGAACCAAGTGGGGTTTGTAGAGAGTTACATGTTTTGAACGAGGGTCTGCTCTGAACAGGTTCACATGCTTGGAGCCCAGGTTCACTAGAGGTCTTTGGGACACTCAGCTGCTCTAGATGCTAGGACACTTCAGCAAGGACAGGCAGGACCTCTGAGCTGCCCCTGTCTGGCCTGATTGCTTTTGCAGGCATTAAGTAAAGAAGGTTTTTCCAGAACCTCAAGTTATAGGATGGAGACTGGTCCACCTTCCACTGGAGAACTCTGTGCGATTTCAAAAGCTTCAGTGATTGTGGCAAGAACATGAAGTCGCCGGCAGGTGCAAACTGAATTAAGATTATTTTAATTTTCCTTTCCACCAGTGCTTCATGGAGCCCACTCTCGAGTTCGTACCTGACTTGGTGAGACATGTAACTCTTACTGAGGACGATGATCAGCCGGCGGCTCTTCTGGATCAGTGAATGGAGGTCATCAAGGGCAGCTGGAGACATTTGAAGATGTTTAAGCCACCAAGAAGTGTGGGTGTGGCACAAAAATTACTTTTACATATGTCCTATTTTATATTATTTAGCTGTGAAGCTTATGAATAAGCTAAGAAAAACCACTTGTTCTCAACTGTAGGTTTACAAAATAACCGTGCAGGTGGCAGTGACGAGTACCTCCCAGCATTTCCTCTGTGCCCATCTTCCCTGAAGGTTTTCTGTATATAAACTTGTTTATCCTCCTACTGAGCCCTGGAAGCAGGCACTGGCATCCTGTTCCTTTTACAGGCATGGAGGCCCACCCCAGAGCAGCTCAGCAACTTTCCTGGAGCCCCACAGCTAGCCCCGACACGCACATTTCACACCCAGCACACTCTCCTGCCTCCAGGTGCATGGAGGAGCATGCAGCAATCAAAACTTGAAGATTAAAAAGCAAAGAAGGTTTAAAAAAAGTTCCACAGTACTCTAAACTACACCACTGTTCATTATCTTAGACCAGATCTGGCCAGTCTTTTCTGCAGAGAACCAGATAGTAAATACTTTGGTTTTGCAGGTCATTTGCTGTCTTGGCCCCTCTACATGACTGCACTGTATTAGCTGAAAAGCTGCCCCGGAGAGAGCAGATCATGCAGCCAGGGTACCAGCCTTGATGAACCACGTGGCAGTATATGGACCCCTGTGATAGACTCCAGAGAGCTCAGTCAAACCTGATTAAAACTGAATATACAAACTGCCTTTACTCTTGTTTAAGAGCTCAAAACATAGGGAGAAAATCTATTTTAAAATTACTCCTAGCGAATAATATACATACAGCAAAATTGATGAATGGGGAGGATAAAGGCTTCGGGAATAACATCACACCTTCTTAGATACAATGAACTGTCACAAAAAAGTGTCAGTGTTGCATGGGTGATGATTATTCCATTTGAGAAGTTTAGTTATTAAATTACACTTTGTCATTCTAGTTAGTAACATTTTCCCTTTCTAAATTGTAAGCTAGGAGGGGAAAATGTTAGTTTCCTGTTTAAATTATTTCTCTTATTTTCAGCGTCCAGCTCAGAACCCAGCTCGGGGTGATGGTGTTCAGTAAATCCGGGTGAGTAACGCATCACAACCACAAGGATGTCATTTCTATTGTTTACTAGCATCAACAGTCACAATAATTTGACACTAAATTTCCAGTATTTCCTCTGAAAGACCTCAAGAGAAAAACATGGAAATATTAATAAACGTCTTCAGTTTTAATTGTAATTTGCCTCAATATATGTGCTAAGCAATTTGCATTCATGCATTAATTTGAAAACCCTAATTCCATCGCTATGATCTCATGAGCGTCACCAACAATTTCCTTATATTTCTCTTTTTCCAGTTCCCCCACTTCCTCCTATAATTTTGCCACCAGCATTAACATAAAGAAGGAGCATTTTCTAGTAGGGTCCTTCTGTGTTTTACAGCCCTGACACCCTGTGTTAAATTAAGAATGTGACACTGAAGAGGAGATGCCCAATGGAGGCACCCGCCTCCTGCCTGCAGAGCGCGGAACAGAATGAAGAATCCCCGAGGAGAGGTTCTCTGGTTTGTCTGTTCCTTAGGACTTTATTTATTTATATTTTGGGGAAAACTAAGTCAGCTATACAGCTAAGCAGCTGATTTTGAAAGCCAGTCCCTGCTAGCTTTCTGGGGGTAACACGTCTTACCTCCTCCGGGCTCCACATCCCTCTCAAATATGCATAACTTGTACCCAAAGTGTTTCTCCAGCGCTGTGGGCAAAGTCTCCACAGCGAAAGTGTACTCCTCCCCGTCCTCGGGCTGACAGTCCCTCAGGTAGGACACAAAGGCATCGTATGTCTTGCCATCTAGGAGACAGGGTGGACTCTTTAAGAGGATGTCTGAGGTGCCAGAGGGAAAAGTTCAAGGAATGTCATAAGGGGTAGGAAAGCTGGGAGAGGAAGGCTCAGTCCCACACTGTCAATCCCAAATGCCAAGGAGCCAATCGGAGGAACACTTCTCAAGCGCAGAGTTTAAGAGACCCAGTATGTGACACCACTGAGGGACTGGGACCAACAGGAGAGTGGCTCAGGGCCCAGAAGGAGTGGATACACAACAGCAGGCCAACATGCAGGCGGGTCAGCAAGTCTCTCCGGGCTCACTCCGGTTCAATGCTGTCCTCATCAAATGCTCCAGGAAGGAAAGACAGACATGCAGTGCAGGGTAGGACGGACACAGGGGTGACGGCAGCCACACACTGGAGAGCACAGGCTACGCACGTCTAGAATATTATAGGACCCCAGCCACCAGTAGGAACCTCCACACCTGCCCCTCCCTAGATCCTCGTAATGCAGCTGTATCCAAATGACCCACAGACACATTCAGGGGAAATGTGCTGCCTAAATGAGGAAGCCCATTCTCCTTATGGGGAGGTAAAAAAAAAAAAAAAAAAAAAAAAAAAAAAAAAAAACGAAACAAAAAAAACTACAATCATCTAATTCTCTCTCTGGCTTCAGCCAACCTCTCTGAGAAGACCCAGGAGACAAACCCAACAACTTGCAAAATGCAAGTTAGTTACATGATCAGATCAGCATCTCTCAGCTCACCACAGAGGAAACTGCGCTTGTAACCACTGGAGAACTTTTCTGCCCATATGTTGGACTCTGATCAACTACTTTAAAGATAATACGCAATGTATGAACTATTGTAATTCTCCTATCGTCTTGCTATGAAATTTTGTTCTGCCTTTTGTCCATTAAAAAGTTACTAACAGCACATGAGCAGATTAAAAGCAGCACTATAAAAATGAGGCAGATGAACAGAAGAGCCTGGGGGGAGATGTGGAGAGCAGTGATCTCTAAAGATGTGCTTTCTGCGTGAGGGAAAGTGTGAGTCCGGGCCTAAACAGAGTAAGCAGTGCTCATCAGGACGGGTAGAGGGGGACAGAATGGCGGGGAATGGCCTGTCCTTATCCTGTGACAGCTGAGAGATGGCAAAGCGTGACATTCACAGCTCAGCATACTATCAGGATCTCCTCCTGCATGGAGGGGCGGAAATGGTGTGAACCTTTATAACAGTGTATTAGGGTGAAACCATCCCCCGCCAGGTCCTGCAGGTGACACAGGATTCTCAGCCGCCCAGGACAACCTGAGTCTTCAGCCTTGCAGGACGCTGCTTGCGGTTTCTGTCAGTTCTGATCTCGGCGCTGTGGGTTCATAGTTTAAGACCCAACCTACTACTGATCTAAAGCTCCTGCTCTTCAGAACTGCATGTATATGAAAGATAGGAAAGTGGGTAAAAGTTGCAGACATACATGCATATCAAAGGTTAGAAAAGTTGACAAAAATAAAAGCAGGGGCTGGCTTAATCAGCACGCAGCTCTCCCTGCAGAGCTCTCTTGGGCTGCTGTGAAATGCAGCACTGACCAGGTGGGCAGGAGGCGGCGTTTCTGCTACTGTTGGTCAATATGTTAGCGTAAGAAGAGTCGCCAAGGAGAGATGACCTGATGGCCACACTCTTTACAAAGGCACGCTGCTCACCACAGCGAGGCTGCAGCTAACTGGAACAGACTGGGAGGCCAGTTCAGCCAAAAGCACGTTTGCACTGCATGCGATACATCTCTATTTTGCCAAAAATTAGCTTTCCTGTACTGCCTTCCAATTCTGTTCTTCAAGGAACTCCTTTCTTGCAATATAAATCTGTTCCTCCAACGGACTGAATTGATTGTGGTATCCTAAAATTTGAGGAATGTTGGTACTTGTAAATATAAAAAGATCGATGTGAAAAGTCACCAGATGGACCCAGTAACAGATAAGAACTGGCAGACCAAGGAGACCTCTAGCTCAGGCTTCTTGTAGGGGTCACATCTCCTTTTCCAGGTCATAATCATGACCCGTAATGCAATGCAACTGAATGCCAATGAACTTACTGACCGTGCGTGCTTAGAACGTGGGGAATGCTGTGTACAGAGGTGTGCAGAGGCAAGGTTCCTGGCCCAAGCACTGCATGACACATGTAGGACACGGCATGCAAGAAACATACAAGCACACACACATACATTCCCAAAACATACGGCAGCACACAAGTTAAGTACAAGAAAAGAACACACAGCAATATTCATCGTGGATGGCGTGTGATGTGCGATTTTTCATAGAAAATCTCTCCACAGACTAGGTCAACATTGTAATCAAAATACAGTGAAGAGCATTAATGTTAACAAGATAGAGATTCATTTGTCTGGTTTAGCCATGAGAGTATAAAACAAAAATCCCCAGCATCACGACATCCATTACCTGTTAGCGTTTCATCTCTTCCCGTCCAGCGTCTGTAACACATAACCAGGTCTACTCTGTAGATGACACACATGACCGCCAGGCATAGGACCACCACAGAGACCACAGTGGCCGCAATCATCCCTCCAGTGAACACGTGGCCTGGGATATCAGCCGCATCTGCCAACAGACAGCGCCAACTGTACATTAGCAGCGCCTTCCACCCTGGTGCACAGCTCTCACACTTTCCCCTTCTCATTAAGCCAGCCACCCACCCTGGGTCCAGACTGCTCCATCCCTCCTGTTCCTGCTGTTGGTCTACAGTGTGATCTTTCTCCTCCAATTCATGTGGAATACCCGTGTGCAGGGACATTCAGAGACATGGACTGAAAATACTGTGATATCTTCCATACATGCCTGGGGCATTCAGATTTCTGGGGCAGTCACATACTATGGTGAATTGTGAAAAGTTCACACGTACATCTTGGCTGCCAGACTGAGCCAATGGACGTGCACGGGTTTGAGACAGGAGATAGGACTGAGTGGAAGTAGGGTTTGCAGCCTGACTCAATGTCTGCTTGAATCACAGGAAAGACCATGGGGGCACCTTTATCCTAGACTCTTCTTCAGTGAAATAAAAATCGTACACAAAGCTTGTTTCCCTCCCAGCTGATGTCTGGTGCAGGGGTGCTGACTAAAGTACTGTGCCTCAGTGTCACAAGTGCATGGTATGGAGTCCTCAGAATTGCATCAAACTGTTCTGTATTCCTTTGGGAAAAGAATTTCCTGTTTCCTAGACTGATTCAGTTCATGCTCACTGAGGTAACTATGAGGTTACACAGGAGTATGATTTTAACAGCCAGCTCACAATGTGGTAACAGCCATGCTAACAAGGCAGGACATTCATTTCCTTGCTGGGTTTCATTTTTACCCACAGGTTTTACTTAATCGATACCATGATAGTCACTCTGCATTCGTTTGCATTACACTAACAGCATTTCACTGGGTCATTCAGATTCTCATTTACAGTATCCCAATTTTAGCTAGATCACAGTTTGCTCTAACTACACATAGTGCACCCCATGGGTCTGTGTTTTTGTTTATCTTCTTGGAATTAATTCTAACAGAGGGGAGATTGTTGGGTTGAAGTGTTACAAAGATCCTTTAAGATTCTGCCTGCTCAGGGAGCATTTTTTCATCTTTCCAGAACAACGAAGTGTTAGGATGTGGGTCAGCTATGATATGTACTTCCGAAGTGAGCCTGGAATGAATCCAGGTGCTGGGTTCCTGTCTCTGAAAAGTCTACACACTCGTGATTGTGCCAGACACATGTGCCCATACAAGCATGCATACAGGGTCACAGAGGGGCACCCAGGCACCCACACTCCCGAAGTGCAGGGGTGCTTTGGGAAACCCTGTACCCCAGCCTGCATTTGTGGACTCAGCAGGTAGAGCACTCAGGGCAGAAGGTGATGAGCAGGGACAGGGCAGGTGGCAGGTAGCTGCGGGATGCTAGGAAATGCAGGTGGCCCAGGGGATCATCCAGAATTTAGAGACTTGGAGGCTTCTTCCTCTCCACTGCACTGGCCACAGCACCCAGGACACGGGCACTTCTGGAGGGATGAGGGGACACAAGAGGACCCTGCGACTCTAGCAGTCACCAGGTCTGCAGTTCACTACCTCTGCTGCTGCACGGCCTTGGGAGGGTTTGTCACCTACTCGAGCCTGGGGTCCAGACCAGTGCAGCCACAGAGGAGCTGAGCACAGAGTGTCACGGACCAATGTGTGAAGAATGCTGGTTCCGGCAGGGACACTGGAGGGACAGCAGTGGCTTCCAACAGGCTTTTGGTAAGAGGTGGGGGGCCCGGGCAGAACAGAGAGGGTGGCTTCTTCCTGGGGGTTCCCCTTGCCCCACCGAGGCAGGTTCCCTGTGTGTGTGTCTTACACTGTTTTTCTCTCTTCTGTATTTGCATCTCTTTCTGTCTCTCTCTCCACCCGCCTTTCTGCATCCATCTCCCTGTCTGTTCATCTCTCTGTCTCATTCATCTCTCCTTATTGGTCTCTCTGTGTGTCTCTGTTTCTCCCTTTCAGTCTCTCTGGTCATGACTGTTCCTTCTCTATCCAGGGAGTTGGTGGCCTTGCCTGGGAATGGGGAGCAGCAAGGGGGTGGGGACAGAGGAACGTGGAGATTTTAGCTCCAGGTTCAGCCACTTCTGAGAGGCCACAGCACCACAGAGGTCCTCGCTGGACATGTCAGGAACCACCGAATGTCCACAGGCCCTATCCAGGGGCTGCCAGGGAAGAGCCCTAGGGGTGCCTCATGGGTTGGGTGACCACACCCGAGGGCCTGCTGAGCCCTGCTCATGTGGCCATGGGCAGCAATTATAAGCCACAGCTCACCCGAGCCCACCTGCAGAACTCCCTCTGCTTGTTCCCGTGGGAAACCCCCTCAGCTGCCTCCCCTGAGGCCCTGGCCCCCAGCACCTATGTCCCTGTGCTCGGGCCTCTGAACCACTTTCCTGTTCTCCTGAGAGCAGAGCATACACTCAGCTTTTGTCCTCTGGCTGGGATTGAGTCTCAGAGGATTCCAGCCTGGGCAGAGCCCCAGTCTCACCTCCCATCTCCTGAGATCAGAAGCATCTGCCACCTTGCAGGAGTTTGGTTCCCACGGAGAAGAGGGACTGGCCATCCCTGAGCCCATCACGCCACACAGCTGCCCACAGGGCTCCACACACTTCCAGGCACAAAACACGCCTACCTTTCCTCAACAAGATGAAGCTTTTGCTATCCGTGCCCCTGGTACTGCTCACGGTACAATTGTATAAAACATTCAGATTGTCTTCACGAATTTTCTTAATTCTCAGGATTCTCGAAGCATATAGTTTGCCTTCTAAAGTCCTGGAAGAAGAAAAATAATTTGGTGATAGGCTTTGTCATCAGTGAAGTTCCTCCTGAGTGGGAAATCTGTAAGTGTGAGACACTCAACAGCGGCTACCCCTCGGCTCTCTTAGATCTTTCCTTCTGGGGGTGACTGCTGATGGAACTCTGTGGAACATCAGAGCACACAGCAGCAGCCCTTTTGATACCATCTGGGGACAGAGTTGTCAGCTACCCCGAATTTAAACACCTGCAGGATAAGGGTAGTATCAGGGCTTAGGTTTAGAATGACCCCAAAGCCTCATGTGTTCAGAGGAGAGGCTTTCAGAAGGTGAGTAGCTCATGGGGTGTCACGCTCAACAGTGGGTCCGTCCACTCTTGAGTTCTGTGGCCCAATGTGCTGTTAGCTAGGTCACGGGAGGGTCACTGGGGTGGTGATCTGGAAGCACTGATCTCCCGCGCTGGCTCCTCCCTTTGCTCCCTGCTTCCTGGCCACCATGACCTGAGTGACCCTCCTCCATGCCAGCTCTCCTACCACCGAATCCCACAAAACTGTGAGCCAAAATAAATCTCTTCTCATTTTCATTGTGGGTGTTGCGTTTTGTGGCTCAGCAACAAGCAAAGCAACTGCATTGGTACCAAGTTGAAAATACTGGGAACGTCTCTCTCTCTCTCTCTCTCTCTCTCTCTCTCTCTCTCTCCCTCCCTCCCTCCCTCCCTCCCTCCCTCCCTCTCTCTCTCTCTGTCTCTCTCCCTCTCTCTCTCCTATACCTTCCCACCTAACCACTGAAGGTTCTTGCTGCTGCACAGTCTCCATCTATGGTTAGGAGCTTGCTGTATTAAGCAGCTTTCTTTACCATCATAAAATACCTGAGATGGGTTGCTTTGTAAAGAAAAGAAGTTCATTTAGCTCACAATTTGGAAGGCTGAAATCCAAACAGCCTGGGGCAGTATGCAAAGATCCCCACAGAGCTAAAGCAGTCATGGTGTGTGCACCTCTGTGTCATGGCTTTTTCTCACCTCTTCTTCTAAAGCCACCTGAATCCAACCTTAGGACTCCAGTCTCATGACTGATCCACTCTAATCACCCCCCAAAGCTCCTCCCCTAAACATCATTGTTGGTGTAGAGTTCTGTCCTAAATCTGAGGATGACACTGGTACAAAGCCTGGGGAGCACACTGTATTCAAACCACAGCAGCTCTAAACAGTTTGGCACAGACACACAGTCACATCAAGTGTGACCAAGCAGTCCCTGAGACTCCTTTTCTTTTTCTTGACCTTAGGAAAAGATCACTATTCTCAGACACCTAGGTAGAGGCAAACACCAGCTGAGCTGTTCAGCAAGCATCCGAAATAACAGCAGTGACCGGCAGTGAGCGAGCTCTCCCTGTCCCTCCCAGGGCTCCAGGGCTCCCACTGGGGATGCAAGTCAAGCACTAGTGTTTGTGGGGGTGACAGGCTGTGAGGTGCTGTACTAACCAGCTCAGCCACTGTGCTCCCTGTGTGCCCAGCAACAGCTCTCTCAAGCACATGGGACGTGGTCCAGGGCAGTCTCTGAGGCCTGTGGAACACAGGTCTGTATAGAATTCACCCACCTGGAAAGATCAGCTACCTAACATCTGTGCAAACCCAGAAGTAAGACGCAGAGGTCCTCTGCACATCCAGCAGGATGGCGTTCACAGCAGGTGCTCCCAGTGCAGAGCCTGCCCTGGTCTCACAGGCTCAGGGAAAGTTTTACAGAAGGGTCAGTGGGTCTCCATCCCGCCAGAAGTGAGACAGAAGTCACTAGAAGCACTGACAGGGGACAGTCACCAAAAAGAAAGCAGTCAGTAAGACAGCCTGGCCACATAGCTGAATCCAACACGCTCCAGGCACTAAGCAGCTGCCTGGCCTGGCAGTAACAGAGAGAGGTTGGGGACGTCACAGTGGTGACAAGAAACACACCACAGAAAAGTAAAAAGCCAGAGGAAAATCCGGAAGTGCAGGGAAGGGGCCGCAACTCCAAGATCACCACTGCTCAGAACCTGAGTTAAGAACAATAATTAATAACCACAGTAGGATCCGATGCCGTTCAAAAAAGATCAAGTGACAATCTGCTTAGGACACCTTCTAGTCCTAAGTCTGGACATTCCTGAATGTAGGTTACTTAAATATCAGTGTGTGCTGCTTGGCACTTTGGTGATACAGAAGTAAAAATAAAGCATTTAACTCAGTTTTCAAAATCCAAGAAACCTGGTGGTCCAGGTAACCACTCTTCTGAGAAACTTGGAAAAATCCCACCATTTACACCCTGACCACTTTAGCCTGCTCTTACAAGGTGATGACAAAACTACCAGGACTTTCTCTGGGATCTTTTATACAGCTCAGAACTTGGTAATAAATGGCTGCATGAGCCAGCTGAGGGATGGCTGTGACAACAACACATACAAGGCACAATGCAGACGGTGGTGTACCGCAGGCCAGCCCCAGGCCCACAGCAGCCACTTGGGGGATCCGCATCTTCTCTACCACGCACAGGCGCTGTGACCTGTCATATACCGGGATGTGTGCTGCATGCCACAAGTGCATACCAAGAGCTCCTTCTGTGGTCTTCATGCACATTGGGAGCTGATGCATTTTCTTTCTGGAAGATCCAGTAAAAGTAGTCCTTCTCATTCAGCAAAGCAGAACAGTTGAGCTCCACATCTGCTCCTAGGTAAAAGTTTGACAGCCACGTTTACATTTTAGAAACTCAGACTTTTTCCAAACAGTTCAAATTAGTATAATCAATGAATGTTAACTTCTTGCAAAACATGGTGCTTTATGGAACAGAACAGATGTAAGTTGGTTTTTAGGTTAAAAATAATAATACTAAGCCAGAGGAATTAGGTAGCAATGACGAGCCGCCAGCAAAGTATGAATGATTTATCCCTGTATGTTCACTTTTAAATCTATTATTAAACCTTAGGGTGGCAGGGGGACTTTTCTTCAGTGCACAATTCTGTAGACAGGGTGAGGACAGCCACTTCCAGAACAACAAAGCAGATACTTCATAAATAAATAGCTAAAAACTAAAGACACAGAGGTGCAGAAAAATAAGTAGAAACAGATGTGCGTGCAGTCAGGAAAGATCGTTTCCAGGGCGTGTGATGACAGCTGGCCAGCGTACTGCATGGCGCATGTACTCGGGGCTGGAATACACAGTCAGATTGTCACAGGGAAATAGACCCAGGGGGACGCCGGCAGCTACACAGGCTGGAGGATCATCGCCGAGTGTTGGGGCTGTGCAAAGCTTGACTTCTCCTGACCACAGCCTTCTTCCCGCCCTCAGCTACAGCAGGTGTGAGGCAAATGCAACTCACCTAGCAAGCACAAGGTCCTGAGTTTGATTCCTGGTACAAAAATATCAGAGAGAGAGAGAGAGAGAGAGAGAGAGACAGAGAGAGAGAGAGAGAGAGAGAGAGACAGACAGAGAGAGACAGAGAGAGACAGAGAAACAGAGACACAGTGGTGGTGGGGGGGAATAAGCCAGGCACAGTGGTGCATGCCTATAAACCTAGCTCTGTAATACAGCTGAGGCAGGAGGATGGCTTTGAGTTCAAGGCCAGCCTGGGCTACAAAACTGAGTTCAAGGCCAGCCTGCACTGCATAGTGAGACCCTGTGTCAAAAAAAGAGGAGAAGGACGAAGGAGGAGGAGGAGGAAGAGAAGGAGGAAAAAGTAAGCCACAGGTGAAAGAAAGGACCCACGAGGGAAAATTTTTATGTGTTTGCAATAGAATAATATAAAATATGGCACACTAATTCTTTTAGAAATAGCTAACATAGGGTTCAGGGAAAAATGTAGTTTACATACATATGCCACAAGAGAGGATAATTGAAATTAATTCCTAGCATTCACTGTCAACAAGCTACAAAAAAAAAGTTCATCCCCAAAAGAGAAGGACAGAAACCACAGAGATAGGGAATCAATCAAACATGAAGTCGGAAGCCCTCAGTCCAACATCACAGCGCTGACCTGCCCCTGAGGCTCACCACGGTATGTGGAGAGCTGTGAACCTGCTCCCGCTCCAGGGCGTGGGCTCTGGGACCCAGTGTCCCAGCATCTGCCGCATTCTGGAGTCCAGCTGGAGACCAGGTACTCAGCCTGTGTGCGCGTCTGTTACTTAATCAGAAGGCAGGAAGAGCATCTCAGAGTTGGCCTGAGCGTTGGGTTGATAATGTACTGCCCTCCCCTGGTGTATTCAGCATGTGTGTGTTTCTTTCTTCCCTCACTTTCCTTTTTGGAAAGAAATTACCCAGTAAGCCATGTCGACCCATCAGACCCGTCCAGACACATCCTAAGTGGACAGCTAACTATGTCCTCTGATTCAAGGGGCATCAATGAATCTCATATTCAAACCACAAAACAAGTTTGAGTGGTCTAGCTGGAGTGTCGTCCCTGAATCTCCGTGTTTAGAAAGAACCACAGAGGTAATGAGAGCAGGTCACTCACTTGGTGACAGAAGTCCCACTACAAAATCCTCATGTGGTTCTTCTGTCTTTGAGCAGAATGCTCCTTTTAGTCAGCCCCAAAGTGACAACACTCAAATGATGACACGCTTTCTCTGCCTTCAGAATGCTCTCACTAAATATTTAACACATTGTGCACCATGTTGATTCAACACGATTCACTTTTACCCTGTGGAACTGGAGTATGTCCCACCTCTCATAAACAGGAAAATGGTGCATGCTGAGACATACCTAGTTCCACTTCAACTTGGGTCAGCTTTGGCCCAAGAATAACTGGAATTACCTCACTGGGATCTAAAATTGAAAGAAGGAAAGAGGAGAACATTAGTTTTCCTAATGCTCAGGCCCTGAATTTCTCCAAGAAAAGCACCTGTTATCCAGTGCTCATCCAGTGTAATACAGCACAGTGGTCTCCTACAGCTGCGTTTAGCTCTCTGCAGTTCCAGCTACTCAGGATCAACTGTGGTCCAAAAAGCATGGAATAGAAAATCCCAGCAGTGAACAGCTCAGAAGTTTTCAACTGCACACCCCTCTGAGAAGTGGGAGGGGGCGGAGGGTCCTCACCTTCCCACTCCAACTAAACCAGACTGCCAGCAGGACTGTGGAGTTGAGGATCCCAGGTGAGGACAACACCTGGAATTTCATCTTCTGGAGTGCACAAATTCAGCTACTGGATGGCCCAGGCATGGCTGTGGCCTGCAGAATAATAGCTCCACTCCAAGTTAACCCACCCTGATCCTCAATCCTATGAACACAGGGTGCTACAACGATGTGTGGATGGAAAGCCCCCTCCAAAACTCATGCTGCAAGCTAACTGCCACTGTAACAGAGTTATGGTTCTCTGGGGATTAGGTCAGGAGGGGCCTGTCCTCACGGACCGGATAACGCCGTACTACAGGAGTGCGTTAGTTACTGCATGGCTGGAATAGTTCAGTCATCGTATATATGTATGTATGTATGTATGGGTTAGTTATAGAGGAGTGGGTTAGTAACTGCAGGAGGTGATCAGTTATCTCAGGAGTGGGCAGGTTATTGCAGGAGGGGGTTAGCTATTGCAGGATTGGTTAGCAATTGTGGGAGGGGATTAACTATTGGGGAAGGGGTTTGGACATTGGGGGAGGGGGTTAGCTATTGAGGGAGGGGGTTGGCTACTGGAGGAGGGGGTTAGCTGTTGGGGGAGGATGAGTCTCCCCTCCGTTTTTCTCACTCAGCCACGCTCACCTGCCCCCACACTGAGTCATGACACACTCGAAGCCTCCACAGCTATCAGCCATAGGAATCTCTATCATTTAAATCTTTCCCAGTCTGTGGCTCCCTGTTACAGCAAGGGAAAGGACTAAGACACAGTCCAGAAAGTTCTGCAGGGGCTGAGAGGCCTCCTGGATTAGAATGAGATTCCTGGAGGATGCCGTGTTGCTGGCTTCACTCCACAGCCCTCCGAGTCCTTTCCCTCCCAGGCTACCGACAGTCTATCGAGTATGGATGTCTTTGATAAATATTCAGGCTTGCAATAAATATCGGTGTGAAAACAACGGGTGACAGCAAAGTTCCACAGTCTCTTGAATTCCAAATAAAACCTCTGAGGGGTCAAACATATTGACTTTCGTTTGCTACCAAAACTTTTACAGCCAGGTGGACTGAGCCAAAATGAAGATTGTCCACCTGACATGTGAACCAGTGATATGCTCACAAGCCTCTCCACTTCCAGTGGCTTTATAAGAAACTAGGACTGGGCTCTACACAATGCAGGGACTCCTCTTACCTTTGACTACTGTGACATTGAGGGTCTTGGTGATGCTGTACAGTTTCCCATCGTGACGAAGAGAAAACACGCAGGAGTAATAGCCCTGGTCCTCAAACTCCGCGTTCTTCAGCAGGGGCGCTAGATAGAACAGATGGCTCTCGGCTATTTTTTTACAGTCCTGTTTTTCAAAAAGCAAATTGAAAAATTTTAAATAAGTATTTGAGGATTTATATATTACAGTCATTTATGCTGTTAAGCCTTAAGATTTCAGAGGCAAAGGCAGACAACATCCCTGTGACAGGGAGTGCTCCCCCTGGAGCCAGGACTGGTGTCCTTCAAGGGTTAAGGCCGCTGACATCCTTAATACAGACTGGGAGACCCTATATCCCCACGTGGATGTCCTGGACAGACATGCCTCTCCCTCTATTTGCCCCTCGGTCATCACCGCCTTGATTGAGCTTCCTTCCATCCCTAGGGAGAATCGTGACCCACGCTTGCAGCACAGGGACTGTCACTTGTGCTGTCCATGCTGGGCAAGAACAAGAGCGACTCCACTCAGGGCTGGCTTGGAGGTGTAGAAAACACTTCCTAGCAAAGGTTTCCCTGGAAAACTTCTAGCCAGCCATGCTGGGCCAGCAGCTCTGAGCCGAAGTTTCCCAGAGGTCACAGCAGCCGCCAACTTTCCGAGGGCCAAGCCTTCCACCCCTCTTGGCCCAAGAAGAGGCCGCCAGGCAGAGCTAGTCCTTGGGGGATGTCACACTGCTGGAGCTGTGTCCAAATGGGAGTTCGTACACACACTGCTGGGTACACGCACGTACACACATGTAATCCAGCAAGAGCAAGGTACACCAGCTCAGAAAGCAACAAGATGCATGGGCGACCACAAACACAAACATGGGTAAAATAAGTACACTTCTAAATTTACTGTTAAGAAAATCTACTGCCTCAAAATTAGTCATCCAAAGAGGAGACCAATGGAAGAGTGTCATGAGTTCAAGGTCACCCTGGACAACTTCGTGACAAAATGAGACCTTGCCTCAAAATTAAAATTAAAAAAAATGTTTTGTTATGGTTTGGATCTAAAGTCTCCTCAAAGTCTCCTGGGGTGGGGGGATCCCTACAGAAGGGTCACAGCTGACTGTGGGAGGACCTGGCTAGAGGCAGCCAGCAGGGTGACCAGGAAAGGTGCCCTCTTGTCCCAACTTCCCCGTTTTCCTCTGCCTCCTTGCTGTGCTCCCCCAGGCCTTTGCGCCCTGCCTTGCAGCCAGCAGATGAAGACGGAACCAACCCCCCCAAACCGTGAGCCAATAACCCTGTGCCCCACAGATGCAGGTGGCACGAGTTATACCCCAGCGGCAAGAAAGTTAACTACTGGCTTGGCTCAGGCGAAGGCTCTGTGTTCAAATCCCATCATTACTGAGTCACTAATAATAAACTAAGCAGCAAAGGAACCACTTCTCTGTGATCGAATGAAAGAGAAAGAGAAGGAGAATGGAGGAAAGGCGGAAGAGGGCAAGCTGCCCCATCTCTGAACCCCTGATGCGATGCAGGCCGGTGATGCCCTGCATGGGTCGCTCAGCCCAGCCAGGCTGAGCAAGCTGCCTGGGTGAACAGGGAGCTGGGGCCATGGCTTCTCCACTCCGGGACCCCACCTCTCCTATGATCCCCCTTGGCTGAGGCGCTTTAGAAAGGTTACCTTGTACAGAGAAGTTCTGTGGATCTGATCTCTGTAGTAACTATTACTGCAGGATATCTGCAAAGACTTTCTAACTCTCACGGTTTGACTTTTTACTTGTTTTTCAGTAAAACAGCTCTGATTATTTCTTCTGATAACATTCAGCACCCACTCCTGAGTATCATTTCTATGAAATAAAAAGGGCAGAGGTGTTTGTGATCACTCTAGAGACACTTCAAGCATCACCCAGGGAGTGACCCGTCCATTACGTTCCCTTCTAATCCACTCTGCTCTGCCTCATAACTTAGCTCACAGGAATAAGAAACTTAACAACTGTCATGAATGAAAGATGAAAACCTGAGCAGTCTGCATGCACACACATGCACATGCACAAATGTGCATACACCAAAGTGTGCAAACCTGCATGCAGTGCAGTCCTAAAATACCACAGGTTCAAGCAGTGATGGATTGATTCTGGTGGTGCAATCTGGTGACTGGTATCTCACACACCAAAGAGCCGGTGCACACACATGCATATCCATGCATGCATACATGCACAAGCACACACGCTTATGCTGCTCTGTCTGAAGATCTCTGTCCACTGTGCTCTGGTCTCACGGCATTCGGTTCTATGTAGAACCCTTCACTGTCAGAGCCATGTCACAGCGGCTCCACCCTGACCCCATCCCCACAACCTTGTGCTTTGGTCACCAAAGCCACATGGTGACACTACCCTCTCCTACCCTCCCCTGCCCACTGTTCTGGGACATTTCTGGACTCCTCTCTGTCCTGTCTCCCCAGTGACCCCGATTTGCTCCCTGCAGCACTCTCCAGCTCCCCTCAGAATGGCGCAAATGTCCCTTGCCTCTTTCACTGGCAGGAGAGGCCGCAGGTGGCTGGCTCCATGCCTCTGTCCACTTCTGCTCCACCAGAGCCCTGGGTGCCTTCATTCAGTCAGGCTTCAGAAAGGGGTGGTGATTGTTATCCTTTTCCTGGTACAGTCTTCGTCTGGCTATGAAAACATCTAGTTTTGACCCATCTCTATCACTATCAGTGTTAAGAGGTCACATAAAATGTGTCAGTTCTTCAAAGAGTTTGTCATTTCTCTCTGACTCTTGGGAGTTTCTACGCATAAAAACAAAAAACCATGATCTCTTTTGGCCAGAACCACAGAGGTTACACCGAGGTTTCACTGTGAACATTCTCTCTCTCTGCTCTCAAACACGGGGTTGATAATGATCAGGACTCTCTCTAGAGGGAAGAGTGAGCTTTCTGAGAGGAATCCCAGTTCACAGCAAGACCACCCAGCCAGCCTTACAAAAGTGCACACCTGTGTGTGTCCATGTGCACACACACACTCACATGTGTATAAGCAGATTTCTATAGTGACAGCCAAGTTCCTCCACAGTGTGCAGCAGGGCCTCAATTCTGAGTCTGGCACCATCCAGGGCCTTGGCACAGTAGACAATGCAGTGCATCCTGGCTGTCTCTCCCAGTGGCCTGGGAGACGGCCACTGAACACACCCCCAGTGATTCTGCTGCCAGGCTCCAAGGGACCTTGCAGACCACACCAGTGTGTGTCTCTGTCAGTCCCATTTCATCCCAGGAGGCTGCCTGCCACCCTCTGTCTCTACATAACAGCATCATGAGCTGTAGGCACTGACTTCCTTGACCAGAGCATCTTTGTCTCAGGAGTAGCTGAGCTTTAAAACTGATTCCATATATTTGAGCTGCTGAGTGAAAGCCAAGAGTCCCAAGAAATATGGTGACATAAAAGGTACACTCACCCCAGCTGGCAAAAGTAGGATCCCTGGTCCTCTAACTTCACCGGCCAAAACTCCAACATGTCCTTATGCAGTGTGATCCGGGCTGTGGGGCCCAGTTGTAGCTCAGTCCGCCGTTGGGGTGGGGTGCTTCTGTACCATTTCAGGGTGGCTGCTTCATTCTCTGGAGCTGATGAAGATGAGCAGCATTTGAGGTAAAAAGGTTCCCCTTCTACCACGCTAATGCGGGGCCGGGAAATACAATGTTCCCCTAAAGATTAGCAGAGGGAAAGAAAAACCAAAACAAATGATAAAGGAAATGCATTCTCTCCTGATGCATTAAGGGAAGAAGCAAGGATAGCAAGAAAGTTCTGAGAAATCTCAGCACCACAGCATTTAGTTTTTCCAGTGGTAGGAAGGGTAAGTAAGATTAAGCAAGGTACAGATGAGGACAAATTGGATCATTCTCCTAAACATGCAAGACATAAAAATACAACACACCATATCTGAGAGACAGACATGGGTAGTGTCATCCTGGAAAATAAAATACTACACATTACAGATTCTTGGAAAGGAAAGCCACAGGTCCTATGTTGCCCGAAACATCTTCTGCAGAGGAGTCCCCATATGCTATGGTTTGTGTTCAGATGCGCCCTCCCCTCCACTCCGTCCTCATGCAATCATGAATGCAGCTGAATCCAGTGTTCGTGACTGGTTCATTGTCTAGCACTGGGATTAGAGGTGTGAGGGCTGCACCCACCCAGGGGTACAGCCAGCACACAGTGTCAACGTGGGAAAAAAGTCTTTTCTATTTTGTGTGGCTCAGTATTGCTGTTTTGTGGTGGCTCTGAAAGGTGGCCCTGCCATGCCACCCTGTCTTGGGGCCAGCTGAGTATGGACTGAACCATCCACAATCGTAAGAGATAAACCGATCTTTCCCCAATTTTGGCCATCAGGTATTTTGTCTCAACAAGAAACAACCAAGACAGAATTTGACACCAGGAGTGGGATCATTGCTGTGATTATACCTGACCATGTGGTTCAAGAGACTTTGGGAATGGCTTGTGGGAAGTATTTGGAAAGTTTGGAGATGTCACCTTGAAGAGCATCCCTTGAACAGCTTAAGCTGTTCTGTAGGGGAGGCTCTGGTCAGAGTTCAGGAGACCAGAAGACTGATAGAAAGCCTGCTGGGAGAGACCAGGATCAGGAGGTTTCTTCTGGAAAGAAGGACTTCACTGCTTGTTGGACTCCACAGGATGTGCATTATGGCTTGGCAAAAGTTTGCCTGCATTTTGCTCATGTCCAGAAACTGTGCCTGATACTGAGATTAAGGGCAATGGACTAACTAATCTGGCAGAAGAAATTTCAAGGCAGTGGAATGCCAAAGTGGGACATGGTTATTGTTGGGGGATTTTAGTCCAATTTATGTTGCAAATCAAGAGCAAAGAGCCCAGCAGGGTGATTCAAAATGTTGTGGGTTTGACAAGAAATCTACGGACTATACAGATAGAGCTGAGACTCTGATTGCTGAGAAGGAGCAGAGAAATAAAAAGATGGCCTGGGTGCATCCCAGGAAGCAGCGGATCTCTACTCTTTGCAGCCTCAAAACTGCAAAAGTGAAAGACTTTGTCAGAGGAGAAAGCCACAGAGAACCATGCTCCAGAATGGTGTTGGAGGCCACAGCAAGTTCCCAACAATGGCGGCTCTGCCATGCCACCCTGCTTTGGAGTCAACTGAGTGGGGACTGAAACCTTCAAAATTGTAAGAAATAAACCTTCCATTCCCTAATACTGGGCATCTGCTATTTTGGAGAAAATAGTGACCACGACACTATAAAAGAGAAGGGGTTGGGAGGGTTCCTTTTTTGTATCCCCAGCTGCCTCACCCGCCTACCCTGGGCCGAGCCACACCAGCTGCCCCTTTCCAGGTCAGATGAAGGAGCTGCACAAGGGCTCCCACAAAGCCTGTCACTGCAAAAGGTGACCAGGAAGATAATCAGGAATCTGTTAGCACAGCCAACCCTCAATCCAGAGATCTGTCCTTCCCCTCTCTGAGATCTCTTTCTCTTCTCTCCATTCTTTCTCAATCCATCTTATCCTCTTGCTTTGAGAATGCATCTGAGCTCTGCATGCACAGGAGGTCCTCATGCCCTTGTTCTCGACCTCCAAGAGTCTCAGGTGGTGTCGGGAAGCCCCCCAGACCCCGTCCTCTGCTGCTCTGGGGGAAGGAAAATCTTTGAAGTTAAGGAAGCACCTATAAGGACATGGAGAAGGGAAGCCCTCTCTATAGATGGCATTTATCTCTCCAAGCAACAGTCTGATTTTCACTCAGCATTGTCAATCAGCCAAAAGAGGAAGAAGCACTCAGAGACAGAGTGTGAGGCAAAAGTCACAGGTAAGTCTCAGTGGGCATCAACTTCACAGCCTGCAGTTGTTACATAATCTCTATCCCACACGTCAGTCCTTCCACACAGAGGTAAAATCCCTGTGTGCATGTGGGTGTTGGTTTTAACTGACACTCAGAACTGCAGTGAATTAGTGATGTTTCATTTATTTTCCTTTTAGAGATGCGCATGTAATAAAGCACATAAACTTTGTACCATGAGCTCTTCTGTGCTTGAAGTTTGTGCAGCTTCTAAGACAGGCAGCTGTGATGTGCCCTTTCCTCTGGCACAGGGTACCCTGCTGTGCTACCATTTCATTGTCCATTCATTCTAGAACTGGATAAACACTGGACATCTGGGTTATGGAACAAGCGTCTTTTGGACATTTGGGTTATTTCTAGGTTTCCAGGTTTTGCCAAAATTCAGATATACTTCTCCAAGCACTAAGTCTTTGTTCTGATGGGCATACACACTCATCCCTCTTTGGAGAAGTTAGAATTTGGAGATATCTACTGTGAAATTCATAGATTTTAGGGGTATGTGTAGAGCAGGAAATGTCTTGGCTTTGCCTGTCAGCATGGACCTTGTTAGGAGCAGACTCTGTTCACACAGAAGAGCGGGGATCAGGGCGTGTGGATCTGGGCTACTGCTCTTTTTTACAAGTGGCTGTAAGAGCCGAGAACCTGTTCCTCTCAGCAAGAAGTGACATAGAACCTGATGGGGAAATCTGATTCGGTCCATGACCAACACTGTGGGAAGAATTAAGTTCATGAACCAGGTACCGCTGTGTTTGCCAGGGGCTTCGCAGCTCACTTGCCTTAGCAGTCTCAATCTCTCACACAGGCTTTGTAGTCTTCTTAATATTAATGACCTATGCTTTCGCTCTTTTCACCGAAGAATCAGATGGATCTTTGCCTGCCCCTCAAGAAGCAGAGAACATGTGTAAAACTTTCCAAAAACCAGTAAGAAAGGCTGTTTCAGGAAGCACATCTTCTTCTAAAGGAAATAAAAGTTCTCTCTCAGCTTAAACCCACAGGGTTAGCTCTTGTCTTTTCCAGTGATACTTTATGCATTTTCTTTACTGGATCCTGTTCCTATGACTCTTTCATTCTCAATGCTCTGGATAACAAATAGACACCAAATTTATAAAGTAAAATTTTAGATCAGAAAATTTGAATAAATTCAATGTCTCCAGAAGCCACCTCCACACCATCTGCAAACACTCTGAACTGGTAAAGATGAACATTTGGAAATCATAATAATCACTTACCCGAAGTGCTTTCAACTATAAGATCCCAAAGTGTCAGGAGTAGTTCTCCATGGCGCATGCTTAGGATCCCACTGCAAATGGTTCCTCTGGAAAACAGTGAGACAGAGTAAGCCAAGGCCTTCAAACAAAAATACACTCGTCTGAAATGGGAGTTTAAGCAAAAACTTTCTAACACCCGAACTTCTAAAAAGCAGCCCAGAAAGATTTTCATATCCCTTAAAATGTCCCCAAGTTCTCAGAACTTTCAATAATACAGAATTAACAAAATCTCATGGTGAAGAGTTTTAGCTTCCAGAAGAAATATCCAAATGTGCAACTTTCTGCACCTGAGATCCTGCTCACAAGGGCAAAGTCAAGCCCAGCATTTCCCAGAGATTTTCTGCAAATCAGAGTGCAGTTTCCCTTTCCACTCCCCTCCTCTCTCCCTCTCCCTCCGTCTGTAGGTCTTCTTCCCATCTGCAGAAGTCTGAATCTCTGTCTCCTATGATGTTTTATTTTGTTACTCTTTAACTTATTTGTCCATTTTTTTTTTCATGTGAGAGGAACCATGTGATATTCAAGTTTGTGTCTGATTTCTGTCACTCAGCACTATGGTCTCTAATTGTACCCACGCTCCTACAATGGCCCAAGTGCATCCTTCTTTATGGCAGAGTAGTACTCCACAGTGTGCAAATACTGGATTTTCTTGATCCACTCATCTGCTAATGAACATGCATGTGATGACAGGCTCCACTCCCAGGGACCAGGCCCAAGGACCAAGATTCCATATGGCCAAGTCCTACAGGTCCCACTGTGTCCTATACATACCTCTCTAGGCCTTTGCAGGGGGACACTTAAAGCTCACTATCAGAATTTGCAGTTAGATCTAGCTTTGTGGGCTGAATTTTCTAAAATCCACATTCTTTCTTCAGAACCTCAGTTACCCCAGTCTCAGGACCCAGTCTCTCGGCCTCTCTGAGGTCCAGCCTGAGCCCCTAGACACAGGTAGCACCCACTGGCATCTGTGCCTGGAAAACGGGTGTACGTGCTTGCAGGGCCTATCTGTAGCCGCACAACCTTCCAAGTTGATCTCAGGAAATCGAGACCAAACTGCAGTGCCTTATACGCTGAACTGCCCTTTACACTGAGCGGCATTCATTTGAACCACCATCGTCCTTGAATTTTGACCCTCAGGGCTGCAGGTCTTCACCTTGAATCACAGGTTTGGACCAAAGGATGCAGGCAGCATCTTCCCCAGCAGAGCCCTTACTAATCCCGAGCAGTCCGTATAGAATCTGGTCCTTGCTTCCTGAAAACCTCGCCACCTGCGCCTTGGCCTCCAACTCCCAATGGAGGGAAAGAGTGCATTTAAAGGACTCATCTCTCAGGAACACCGGGGTGACAGGAGTCTCAGGCACGCTGAGGGTCACAGGCTTCAACGGGCAGTCTGCTCATCACCAAAGCAGAGGGAAGCCAGCAGCTCAGCACTGGCATAAGAGAGCTCCACCCAGCATGCCCAGGCCCTGGATCCCACCCCGCCTAACACAAAAACCAGCAAACAAGGAGGCCTCAGTGCACCAACTGCTGCTTACGGGGACTGCGGGGTACAGGGTGACAATTCCCGGCCCATGACCATTCCCCTCCCGTCCTGAGAGGGGGAGAGGATGTCCATACCCTGGTTGTGGAGAAAGTCGAACAGTGAAGCTGCCAAGTGATTTCCACCAATCTTTGTGAGTAACATCACCAAATATCTGGTGGAATTTCCAAGAGATGGCAGCGGAAAGTCCCAGCTGCTCACTGGCAGCTCTTCAGTTAGAAAGCTCCGGTCTCCCACTCACGAGGCTTTTATCACCAGCTCTGTCTGCGCTGTTATCTCGGGCCGAAGGCGCAGTGTTCTTTCCTGTATGTCATTTCTCTGCGAAAGGCAGACGAAGCCCTATTGAGGCTATCAGTTTTTAAAATGTTTCCTAAGGCCAACCCAGGGAATGGTTTGGAGATGATTCAGGGTCCGGGAGTCTGGAGTCTCCAGGAGAAACAGGTCAGCTCCTCCGGTACACGTCCTGCTGATGGCCGCAGAGCCCTCTGGACATAGAGATGCACACAGGACACTGCTGGTCCACTCGTGAAGTTGAAATTAAGAGATTGATACTGGACTATAGAATGAGTCTATACCCAGAAAGAAAAGTTATTCTGAGACATGTCAGGAGTACAGAACTCAACTGCAGCCTAGCATTAATAATGAAATAAACATAGGAGAATAGAAACATGACATTTCTTGCTTGTAAGAATTTTAGGGGGGTTAGTGTCCTGTTGGGGAGTGGTGTTTGTTTTTTGTTTTTCTGTAACTTTCATGTTTTGGCTCTTCTTTCTTCTTTTTGAATCTTTGTCCTGATTTGTAAAGCAATCCATTCCCAAGGTAGGATGTTTGCAACACAAGACCAAAAGAAGAAAATAATCCCGACACAGTTTGCTGCCTTGTTCTGTATGTTTCTGAATATTTAAACCCTGCTCAATTGATTTTATGCCTTGAGCTTTGTCTTCCAAACCCCTGTAACCACTGCCCACCACTCCCTCATGAATGGAGGGCCACCACCAAGAGGGTCCCTATCATGAAATAACCCCAGGCCGTGTCGCTGTGTGAGGAGTGGGCTCAGCCTGACTGAGTACAAGCTCCAGCCTCTCTTCCATCAGCTGCATCACCATTGGGAGTCACCAACCCCCTCTGTTCTCAATTCCCCACCCGCAGGCGACAAGAATACCCAGAGCTGATGGGATAATAAACACCACTGAAAGATCCTCATCACCTGCATTTCTTACCATTTTCTTGACACTACTCCTGGCAGGCGAGTAAATGGGTGGATACCCCACACCCATGGTGAACGCACACCCCAAAACCACATTCCAGAAATGGAGCCAGGACCCCTATTTCCTGCCTCCACTGTGCGAAAGTTTCCGCCCACCACCCCAGTGCTGAGCATTCTCAGTTTTAGTACCTACCCAGGCGGTCAGGATGGAAAAACAGGGTCTCGCTATTTTTGAAGTCCCATTTCTTTTGGTTATAAATGAAGCAAATATTCATCAGGAAATAGTAAGCATTTTATTTTTATATTTATGAACCACTGCTTTATACTCTTTGCCCGGCTCTCAGATGTCTGTTGAACTTGGTTCCTTTACTCCAAATTCTTCTTCTAGTATGTTAATACTGCTGCATCAAAACACTCTTTTCCTTTGTGATTTTTTTCGATAACTTTTAAATATAGACCATTTTTTTCCTCCAGGGGTAAAAACATGTTTCTATGTATTTTCTTCATTTTATGACTATGTTCTTTTCAAATTTACTTTTTAAAAATTCACCAGCAGCTGGGCATGGTGGTGCATGCCTGTAATTGCAGCACTCAACAGGCTGAGGCCAGCTGGGCTACAAAGTGAGTTCAAAGCCAGCCGAAACTACACAGTGAAACAAGAATTCACCAGTAATTAACGTTTTTATTTGGCATGCAAAAAAGGTTCTAATTAAACCTAACTTTTCTAAGATAACTAATAATTATTTCTCTATCATTAATTGAATAGTTCTGTTTATTCTTTAATATTTGTTGATATCAGGTTATAAAGTACGGGTCTTCCCTGCTGCTCTATGGAAAATCTCTGAACACACACACACATCCTACATCATCCTCTCTTATCTTACCTTTAAGTTTTCAATTCATGGGAATTATCACAGACCTGTTTACTCATAACTGCTAGCTACTTTATTATACAGTAAATAATTATCACATTAAATCCATAAAACGTACACAGTTTGCAATTTAGGTGATCATCCAATCCATGGGTATATCTGATTATCTACTTTCAAAATCTTTGTATGTTTTTGTTTTAGGAGACAAGGTCTCACTCTATAGCCCCGGCTGGCTTTCACCCTGCATATTTCTGCCTCAGCCTCCCAAGAGCTGGGATAACAGGCATTTACCACCACGCCAGGTTTAATACAGGATATCCTCCTAGCTTTCACCGGGAGCTGAAAAAAATTAAATAATCAAGTTCAGGCTTCACCCAGCTGTCTGGCCTGGGTCCTCTTAAATCCCCAGCCAGTTCTAACATGCAGCCAGGGTTAACTACATTAAAAACGTGTACGACCCTGACACCCCTGGGTAATGAAATCATTGATGAAGGTATGAGATCGATACATGCTCACCTGTGTATGACAGTGCAGACACATAAAGGACAGCCGGGAACTGACCTAAACCATTGCATTTCAGGAAACTCTCCTTCCGAACCCGGACCCTGCCAGCTGCCAGCTGTTTGCAGGGCCCCCTAAGGAATTTGAGCGCTGTCTGGAAAACACAACCATAACACCCCCAGTTTGACACATTCCAGGTGGCCCCTGAGACAAGCAGAGGTGACACTGCCCTGGCTGGACTACAGCTCCTCTCAGTGACCCCCCCAAAACAGGCAGAGCTCATACAAGCCTCCCTATAACCCTGCCCTTCCAGACACAAGCTGCCGCACAGAAATCATAAGGCTTGGGATTTTCTGTCTTTGCAGCCTTGAGATTTGAACCCGGGGCCCAGCATGCTGGGTAAATGCTCTAGCACTGAGCTGCAGTGCTTTACATCCGACTCTTCCCACACCGGCGCTCTGCTTGGCAGGACAGCTGGCCGGTCACTACACGCAGAGAGGGACACGCGATCTCGGAGTACATGGCACACGTGCACCTCCACTCTGAGGAGCAAGGCACCAGGGTGGAACTTGGTTTCCGTGTGCAAGCCCAGCAGAACCACGGTAACTTTGTTTTGGGCAAGCAGCGTCTGTTTCTGGGGTCCCCTTCCTTGCACCCAAACCCAACCATGCATGTGGCCCAGCTGCTGATCCCTGGACGCCTCTGGGTCTTCCCTGTCCAGAAGGCCCTGGAGACCTGGCTCAAAGGTTAACCCACTGAGGCCCACTCAGTCACCCCTGCGCTAGCCCCAGCCGGCATTGCTCCCCACTCCCAAGACCCGTCCACCTGCGCTTTGTAGGGCTGTGGGGTTCCCAGCACTTAAGAATCCATGCGGTCTAAGGACCCCAGGTTCTCAGGACAAGCGGTACCCCCAGGTCGCAACACCTCAGGGCACACCGTGGGATACATGGGGTCCCCAAAAACCAAGTAAGGGAAGTTGGCAGAGTGAACATCGCTGTCCTCGGGTCCACCTGTCCTCACCTGCGTGGGCACTTCAACAGAGGCCTGTGTTCGGATCCTGCAGATGTCTCCAGGCGAGAAAGGAGGTTGGGAATCTGGTGTGAACACAGACTCCATTATTTGGTAGCTGAGTGTCCTCCTAAATTACCAAGACCCTCTGTGCATTGGTCCCTTTCCTTTTTATTTTATTTTTCTTTTTTCAGTTGGTTAGTTGGGTTTGGTGTGTAGTTCAAGCTGGCCTCGAACTCGCAGGGACCCTCCTACCTCGGCCTCCCAGCACCACGCCAGGCTCCCTCTCCATCTGATTCAGGAGGCTAACACCATCCCCTCACAGAGGACCAGGAGAATTCAGCAGTGCAGAGGCTCCCTGCTCTGCCCTGATTTCAGCACTCACCCTGCAGAAGCGAACTGAGATTGCTCTAACTTCCAAAACCCACCTCGGGGACGCGCTGGTGCACGCCGTCTAGTGAGCTCACACACGTGGGCGCGTGGGCATGTACGCGGAGACACACACGCGAGCGCCCCGATCGTGCCCCAAGGGTCCTGGCGCGGTGCGGTCCTCCTGTCTCCCGCCTCCGTGTCGCTGTCCCTGCCGCCTTCCTCCTCTGCTCCTCCTCCTAGTCAAGCCCTGCAAAGACTTCGCCAAAAGGCTGGAACCCCGAGGGGGCGGGGCGGGGCGGGGTGGGACCGAGCCCCAGCGGGAAGGGAAGCGGGTGCTTTGTGGCCAGTAGCAGAGTCCGCGGCGCGCAAACCTGGAGGACCCAGGCCTGCACTCTGGTCGGGGCCATTGGTCTCGGGGTGGCCTGCTCTGGGGGAGCTCCCAGGACCCGCGCACCCCAGAAGAGTCCACACTGCCATCCTCGCGTGTGTCTCCTACGCCCCCTGCTGGCCTTGGGGAGCCATGATCCAGCGAGGCCCCCAGGGTGAGGCTCAGGCACGCTAGCAGAGCCATGGTCTGCAGAAGTGGGGTGCCTGGGCATCGCTCTCAGATGGGAGCGAGCTAGAGAGCAGGGAGGAGCAGTCGCTGCACTGGGATCTCAAAGTGTTTCTGTGTGGTGGAACTGTTCTTAAACAAGGAACAGGGATTTCCTTCGTTTACCCAGTCACCATGAATCGCTGCATAATAAAAAAGAGCGTAGAGTTATTGAAATAACTCTTAAAACATAGCAGCGTCCATGGCTGATGGGGCGGGTTTAGAGACAAGATTTTCACACTTTTTAGCCCAAATTAGTTCAGCACATAAAATGGAAAGCACACAGTTATCTTCGTAAACACAAAAAGTAGTCATCTAGCAAAACTCAGCATCTTTTCTGCTTTAATAACACCAAGAAAATGGGAAGGAGAAAAGACTGTTTCTCAGTCTGATAAAGACCATCCGTTAGGAATCTAGAGCCAATTCCTTATCAACGGTGAGTCATTTCGCTCTGTCCTGAGATCCGCATGTCGACTCTCACCTAGAAGAAATGCGTTACGTAAAGAAATGAAACTAGAAATGATAAAACATCAAGAGGAAGAAATGAAAGGGCTGGTTTCTACAAAAGACGTGTTTATATGTCCATTGCCCTTTGAAGTCTACAAAAGCAGCAAAGAAAGAAAATCCATGGAGTTTGCTGAGTTGATCAGAGTAACAGAACATCAGATTGATACTGGTGATGGAAATTCAAAACATAAAACTTATTAAGAATGTTATCTGAAATGGCATTTTAAAAATTAACCATCAAAGCGCAAGTCCTCTGGAAGAAATATAACTAGGAAAATAGAAAAAGTAGAAAGGAAAGTTATCTATAGAGGTGTATACCATGTTCAAGGATTGCAAGTTTCACTGTTATTGATACGAGTATCGGCTACATTTTAGGCTGCCTGGATTGTGGAGCCTGTATAATTAATGCAATTCAAATCCAAGAAGTAATTTTCAAAGACATTCAGAAGCGGTTTTTAAAATACATATATGGAGATTCAAATGATCAAGAATTATCAGGACAGTTGTGAAAAAGAACAAAGCCCTGACCTTTTATCAGTGAACGTACCCTGTCTGGAAGGTTTGCAACAAAGCAAGATTAATCATAGAAGTGTGATATTTTTGGGACTATACAAACTGGAAATAGCAAATAGATTAACAGATTCACAGGAATATTCAACTAGTATTTTATTAGTAGTCTATGTCAATTCATGGGGAAGAGAAATAGTGACTTTCATGAATGTTGCCAGAATACCTAGGTATCTCTATGGAAAAGAGAGACTGAATTCTGACCCTTATCTCATTCTATTCATTCTCTACAAATCACAAAATTACTTGAAAGCTAGAACCACAGCTATGTCATAAAAATACACAGGACACTATTTCCATGTCCTTGGGGAAAATGAAAGAGAATCCCTAAAATGTAAGGAGCCCTATGCATGACAAATTGATCTGCTGAATGTCACTGAAATTAAAGCTGTTCATCAGTGCAGTCATCACTTTCAAAACTTGAAAAGTAAACTTGAAAAACTCTGACATCTCTGGCAAATAACTTATACCCATAGTATATGAAAAATGTCTGCACATCAGCAATATAGAAAGAAACAACACAGTTTAAACGTGGCAAAAGATTTTATCTCCACCAAAAAATATTTGCTTACAGCCACTTAAATCAAACACTCAACATCATTAATGGCCAGAGAACTGCAAATCAAGACCACAGTGAGATTCACTTAACAACCACGAAAATGACTGAAGTATAAAAGAATGTGATAATACCAGTCGTAGATGACTCACCAGAGTGACAAATCGCTCATCAGTAACTAGGGAATGTAAGATGATAGACTAGTTAGCAGAAACATTTTCCAGTTCTCCAAAAACTTTAACCTACCCATCGGTGTTGGACAATAAACAAAAACAGATATTCTCAGGAATGTTTATCAGAGCCACATTCATAGCCATAATAATCCGTATGTCTAAGAAGAAAGAAAAGATTAAACAAATACTTAGCCACATAACACAGTACAGAGAAACCAGTGACTCACAAAAAATAGAGTGAGGATTTAAAATGGAACATTGTAGCCAAGTAACCAGATACAATACCACCCAAGTGTATTCACACAGAAAACTGACAGGACTGGGCCTCACAGATGAAAATCAGAACCTTGTTTGCCCGTGGAGGAGGACAGGAGCCCACTGAGATGTCTCCGAGGAATTTTCTAGAGCGATGATGTCTGGCTTGTGTTCTAACTACTACACAGGTGTGTTAGAAGACCATGATTCATTGGAACTGAATGCTGAGGATATATGTATGATTTTATGAAAACGTGACTGAAGTAATTCTTCGTGGTCTTATAATTTGCGAGCATTTTCACCATAGTTCTATGTTTTACCTCTAGCAGGTTTCGTGTGGATCTGTCCTGTGTGGACCTATTACTGCCCCATACAGTGGAGACAGGGAGACAGTGAAGTTTGAGGCGCTGGCATGAGAATTCAGGTGTCTGGCAGTTCTCTAACCTCACAATGACCTGCAGCTTGGAATCATGAGCAAGCCTTGCAGCTGATCAGGGGTCACCTTCTCAGTCCTCCCACCTTCCAGTCACAAAGGGCTCAGGAGAGTGGAAACTCGTCTGTGCCTGCTCCGGAGCAAGGAACTCAGTATTATGAAACCACAGACGAGACCATCACATATGCCATGTAATCACGTCCTTTGTAGCTGCTGTAGAAAGATGCCAGACTCAGCTTTATGCTTTCAAGCAGCTAATGTAAACAGGGAACTAAAATCAGTTTCAAAATTCCCTAGTCCATAAATCAAAACCACACCCATCACTTTAGTGAGGCAAGAGGGTCAGGTAAATGCATAACTGCTCCCAGTAATGAGAACAGAGAGAAGTTAGCTTTTGGAGGTCTTCACAGAAAGAAGTCACAGACTATAACCAACATTATAATAGACACAGAGAGGTTTCTAAAGTAACTACAACTGTTGCTGCTTACTGGTATTTTTCCTGTGATTTGAATAATTCTATACTTGCATTAGCATAGAAATCCAAAGTGTTTAGTATTATTACAGTCATTTTACCTAAGGGAACCAAGCTTTGAAGACATTAAGGGATTCGTGACCACTGTCTTCATTGTGTTTCTTGTTGCTGAGACAAAATACCCAACACCCGAAGGTAGAGAGGAAAGGTTTATTTGGCTCACAGTTAGTAGAGGTTTCAGTCCATAGCTGGCTGGCTCCAGGGCAGGTGGCATGGCAGAGGGCATCGCAGAGGAGAAAGAGTTCATGGTGGGCAGAAGGCAGCAAGGCAGTAAGTGACAAGCAACAACCTTCTTCTGTCCTTGTGTTTTATCCAGGCTTACTCACTCACAACCAGGGTGGGCATCCTTAATCCCACCCAGAACTAGGTCAAGCCAATCAGTGGGCTGATTTAGTAATCACACAGCTTTGGTGCCTGCATCACACACGATAGATCCACCTCTGAGAAACCCCACCCTATGCCCACATGAGGCTTTGGGGAGACGTTTAGATACAAGCCATATCAGCCACATGGGTGGTGAATCAAAAAGAAATTCATAGATTGATTCCAAATTATATGATGAAAACCAGCCAAATATGCTCTGTCCTTTCCATTCCCCATTACTTGCCTCTTCAGTGTCTGTTAGTGACACATAAAAGCACAAAAGTCTGCCACTGAAGTCACATTTTGCAAATCATGATGCAGGGTGTCTAAATGTGAATCTGATGCCCACTTCATATGAAATTCTGTGCTTTGAATTCAACTTCAGCTGATGTTTCTTTCATCTGGCAACCCGAGCTGAGGCTGTGGATTAGGAATAGAGGGTCCCAGAAAGCAGAAAAGCTGTGGATACATCAGACAGCCCTCTGGAGGTGTGATTTCAGTCAGGATTCTGAAACAGGCACTGAAGATCAATGAATTCCAGGTCACCGTCTCTCTGTCACTCAGCTTTCTATATCAGTAAAATATGAACTCATTTAACTGATGCAGTGGTTCAACTAAGTAGGATCTTATTACCTGCTTGCAAACTTTGATGTGTAGCCTACATCCCTTTCAGGCTATTGGGATGCTGTGACCAAAGTGAGGGATCAAGGACCCCTGTCCCCAGGAATGAAGGTTCAAGTGGACACTCAGCCAGTGATACCCAGTGATACTCCTATGATACCCCTGTGGCCCTGAATTGTGTGCTGCCCTGCAGGCAGTGGCCAGAGGATGCCTGGCTACAAATTACCTTCATCCTGCCCACATATTTTGTCAAAAGCATTTTAATAAATTGCACAAATACTGTAACACATGAAATAGTCTCAAACTTTTTAATCAACATTTTCATTGAGAGGTGTACGATATAACAGTAGGGTAGAATTATTTATAATGACATAATTATTTATACTTAAGGCTTTTTCAGTTCCATCCAATGTAGCACAGCCATAAAATGGAACATTGTGAATATTTTTAAAATTTAAAAAATTCAATGACATGCCAATAATTTTTATTATGATTTTAGGTAGAAAACATAAAATTCACTCTCTGTTGCTGGTACAAAATATGTGACCTACAAAATTTAAAAGAGGAAAGGCTTATTTCGGCTCGGGGTTTCAGAAGTTGCAGCCAATGGTCAGTGGGCTCCGTTTGCATGACGCCTGTGGTGAAGCAGAATGCTCACAGTGGAAGGGCAGGGTGGGAGGAAACGTCACCTCATGGCAGAGGACAGCAAAGAGAAAGGAAGAGTCAGCATCAGGAAGGGAGCTAGGCCAGTGGAGGTGAGCCTACAGAACGTGTGCCACTGCGGGCTGCTTCTTACTACCGAAGGCTCTAA